AGTATCCAATATAGTTTATATCTTAGCGCTTCTCAGGATCCCAACAGTTTCAATTATTTGTATATGTTTCCACTGTTGTTGGCGGCTGCTCATAGAGAGGGATCAGGTCTTTTCCCGAGAACTGTCACTACAATAGACAAAACAGAGCGCCGTCTCTAAGTGTAAACCATTTATTAAGCACAGTATAAAAACAAGTGAATATATTTCACAAGATGATCAGTACACATCAGCAGTCATAGTCTGGAATTAGAGACTTATCACAAGTCCACTTTGAGGAATATAGTTGTTCCTGACTTTTAATCAATAAATTGGCTGGTTACAATATTTTTCTTTAAAGCAGACACTGTAGCTTGGCTGACATGTTTTCGTGGCGCGTTCCTTTTCTTCAGAGCCATAGCTTTTCCCACTGCCGCATTAAGACTGAAACCTAACCAATCAAAGACCATGACACCTTAGTTAGACTTGTATTATGAGTGCAACGCAGCACCTTGATCTAACTAAGGGGAAGTGCCTTATCTAATTATTCCTCAGCGTTTCCTCTCATACGGCTCATCATTTAATGGGGCTATGTGTACATATATCTCTACCCCAACTTTTTAGAATAAATCTAAATAGCAATCGATCTAGGTATTTTAAAGTATACACAAATAACTATATATTATATTAGACACTAAAATAAACGTTGCTTAGAAAAATCTCATATTAAATGAATAACTTTTATCTCTAAAAACTTTTATCTTTAAAAATTATGATCTGAATAGTGATTCAACTAAATGTTAAAATTGCAACCCTACACTAGATTGATTGTTCTCTGCACCGAGCACAACCTAAGTTTAGAACACCACAAAGTATTTGAAGTTGAATAATGCGTGTATGCATTTATGGTTGTACTGGTGTGTGCGTGTGTATGAGTCCATGTGTGATTTTGCTCTAAGTAGTACCTGTACCTTTGTATGTTATGGTCTCCAAGGAAATCATTCAAGAGTTTCTTGAATGATTTGACACTCTTAGCTGAAATCACTGCCTGTGGCAGTGAGTTCCAGACCTTAACCGCTTGCGCCCCGTGTGCTGAATTTATTTCTCCACCAGTTTTTGGTGGTGGCCTCTAGTCTTTGTTATGGGGTTAACAATAAAGAGTTTGTTAATAATGTTGCTATCACCATTGAACATTTTATACAAGAAAATGATGCCCCCCTTAATCTCCTTACTTCCAAAGAGAACATATTTAATTTTAACAGCCTTGTTGCATAGCTCTGGTCCTCCAACCCTTTAATGAGTTTGGTTGCCCTCCGCTGGACTTTTTCCAGCTCAAGGACATCTTTTCTGAGTACTGGTGACCAAAACTGGACTGCATACTCCAGATGAGGCCAAACCAGTGATCTGTAAAGTGGCAAAATTATAGACTTGTCCCTGCAATACATTCCCTTCTTAATACAAGACAGTACTCTGCTTGCTTTGTTTACAGCAGCCTGGCACTGCGAGCTATTCTTCAATCTGTGGTCTACAATGACCCCCAAATCTTTCTCCATTTCTGACTTCCCCAGTGGCATACCCATAACTGTATAGCTCATTTGCCTATTTTTAACTCTAAAGTGCATTACTTTGCATTTATGGACATTGAACTTCATCTGCCATACAGTTGCCCACTCCCCTTTTTTATCCAGGTCCTCCTGTAATGTCACAATGTCTAACTCCTGTCTAATACCCTCCACATTTTTGTATCATCAGCAAATACTGAAACATGGCTACTCACTCCCTCCCCAATATCATTAATAAACAGGTTGAAAAGCATGGGGCCCAGCACAGAACCCTGGGGCACGCCACTCATGACCTCAGCCCAGTCTGAAAATGTGCCATTTACCGATACTCTTTGTACATGTTCCTTTACCAGTTTTCTATCCAAGTGCACACTCTTTTATCTATGCCCATAAACCTTAGCTTGTATAACAAGCGTTTATGTGGCACCGTTTCAAATGCTTTGGAAAAGTCCAGATACACTACCTCCACCGACCTCCCTCCATCCAGATCTCTACTTTCCCCTTCATAAAAGGTTAGCAGGTTGGTCTGACAAGAACAATCCTTCCTAAATCCATGCTGGTTATCAGTTATTATGCCATTATAATGAACAAATTCCACTAAGTAGTCCTTTATAAATTCCATCTAACATTTTGCATACAATGGATGTTAGGCTAACTGGTCTGTAGTTCCTGGGATGGCATCTTGACCCTTTTTTGAATATAGGTACTACATTAGCCCTCCACCAGTCGCTTGGCAATCTACCAGTCATTATGGATTCCTTAACAATTAGGAATGATGGTCTCGTTATTATCTGGCTGAGTTCTTTGAGTACCTTGGGGTGTAGATTATCAAGTCCTAATGCTTCATTTGCAATAAGTAGTTTCAGCCTATGTTGTATGCCGGTTTCGGTCAACCACTGAGGTATATTTTCTGTAAAATTTTGTGTTTTATCATGTACATTAAACCAGTCTTTTTCCTCGGTGAATACTGAAAAGAAAAACGTATTAAGCGCCTCTCCCTGTCGTTTGTGACTAATCTCCCATTTTCATCCTTTATTGGGCCTATCTGCTCCTTTCTAACCTTTTTACTGTTTATTTATTGATAGAATTTTTTGGGGTTCCTTTTACTAACTCTGGCGATGTGCTTCTCGCATTCCATTTTAGCTGCCCTAATTACCCGTTTACACCTTTTATTACATTCTCTTTCATTGCAGTTATGGAATGCCAATGCTGTCCCCTCCATCTTATACTTACTAAATGCCACTTTCTTTTCCTTAATGTGATGTTTTACTGTTTTATTTAGCCATAACGGTATACAATTGGTAATAGCATTTTTTATTTTGTTCTTAAAACAATCCCACTTCTGGTCAGTGCTTATTTCGAAAAATACGTTTTCCCATTCGATGTCACCCACTATCTTGCGCAGTTTTTCGAAGTTAGCCTTTCTGAAGTTTAGGCTTCTCGTCAGACCGGCCCAATTTCCTTTCCTGTTCCCAATATTAAAAGTAATCACCTTGTGTTCACTATTACCCAGTGACTCCCCGATTACTATATTCTCAATTAACTCCACATTATTGCAAATGATCAAGTCTAGGGTGGCGTTATTCCTAGTTGGATCCTCAACCATCTGCTCCATGAAATTGTCTTGCAACGTGTTCAGAAAACGGGCTGCCTTTGATGAATGAGGAGTTCCATTAGCCCAATTTATGCTTGGGTAATTGAAGTCGCCCATTACCACAACATTCCCCTGTTTCCCAGCTATTTCTTTTTAAGAATGTAGATGGGCTTCCTCCTCCCCCCCTATATTTGGAGGTTTATAACAGACACCCACAACAAGTGTATGGCTAGGGTCCGTTCTATCTAGTTCTAGCCATAAGGATTCCACAACATCTCCACCATTTGACGTGATATCGTCCTGTATGTGCATATGAAGGTTATTTTTAACATAAATGCAACCCCCCCCTTCTTGCAAGCCTGTCCCTCCTGAACAGGTTGTACCCTTCTATATTAGTAGCCCAATCGTGTGCGCTATCTAGCCAAGTTTCTGCTATTCCCACTATATCGAAGTCCTTCTCGAGTAGCATAACTTCAAGTTCTTCTAATTTATTTGCTAGACTTCTAGCATTGGTGAACATACATTTCATTTTTGTACTATTATTGGTTAGACGTTTGCTTCCCTCTTGCTCCCCACTACTTTTTTTAATTGGCCTTGTTATGATTGGTCCATTCCTAATTGGATTACCTTGGGCGATTGGATTTACTTTAATGACTGTATTGACTATGTTGTCTATGTTGTCTATGTTGGCTGGAGTGACTCCGTGTGACTATTTTGACTGGGGTGAGCCCACTTTTTATCCCTGTATTATGCACTTCTGTGTTATTTGTCGTGTTTACTTGTTTACCATTTAATTTGTTGGTTTTTTTTTACCCTCCCCCCATCATCTAGTTTAAAAGCTCCTCCAGTCTTTTAACCATTTTTCGCTCCAGAAATGCTGCACCTTCCCCGTTAAGATGCAGCCCATCTCAGATGAAGAGCCGGTCACAGACTGAGAAGTCAGCCCAGTTCTCCCGGAAACCAAAGCCCTTTGACACCAGTTCCGGAGCCACTTGTTAAGTTCCTTCAACTCGCGCTGTCTGTCCGGAGTGCCTCTTGGCACCGGCAGTATCTCAGAGAATACTACCGTGGAGGTCCTTTCCTTCAGCCTAGTACCCAAGTCTATGAACTCCTTTTTTAGGACGCTCCATTTACCTCCTATTCTGTCATTGGTGCTGATGTGCACCATGACAGCAGGGTCCTGCCCAACCCCATCTAGTAACCTGTCAATTAATTCCGCAATGTGTCGAACATAATCCTCTGGTAAGCAACATACTGTTCAACGCTCACGGTCCCGATGACAGATTACCCTGTCAGTCCTCCTGATGATGGAATCTCCCACCACCAGGATCTGCCTCTCCTGACCCTCCATCCTGCTCCCATCCTTGCTGGAGCAATCACTCCCCCTGCGGATAGAGGAGGCGTCCTGCTCCAGCAGAGTCACCCCTGAACTTATATCCCCAACATCCCGCAACCTGGCGTATTTGTTAGGGTTAACCAGTATAGGGCTGACCTCTCTCGCACTCTTCCCTCTACCCCGCCTTCTATCAGTAACCCAGCTTCCAACCTCGGGATCCTGCTCCTCCAGAACCCCCCCCCCTTTATCCAGGCCGCCCTCCACCACAGCCTGGTTCGTTAGGTCCAGACTCCTTTCCATGTTGGTTATGCACCTCAGTGTTGCCAGTTTGTGGTTAGATCCAGAATCTGGGCTTCTAAACAAACAACTCGCTCACATCTGGTGAAAATGTATTCGCATGTTCAAGGAACGCATACATTGCACACGACGTGCACCGGGTTGCACACCCACTCATGGAAGACATTTTCCCCTTTATTTATCTTTGTCAAATAACAGCCCTAGGGTTATTTTATTTTACTAAAGCACATAATTTAAGTTACCCTGCTTTTAATTTAATTTCACTACAGCCCTGGGGTTCATTATGCTCCGGCCCTAGGGTTGATTGTGCTACAGCCCTGTGGTTGATTACTCTTTGGCCCGGCGGTTTATTACGCTACTGCCCTGAGGGTGGATTCCGCTACTGCACTGTGTATAAATTAACTTACACTACAGCCCTATGGTTATTTTACTGAAGACCTTGAGTTACTTTAATTTTAATTTACCCTGGGATTAATTTAATTTCACTTTGGCCCTGGGGTTGATTATGCTTAATTACGCTATGGCACTGGGGTTGCTTATGCTGCTGTCCTTGGGTTAAATTAAGTTACACTAAAGCCCTGGGGTTAAGTTAAGTTATACTAAAGCCCTTGTGTTTGTTGCACTATGCCCTGGGGTTATTATATTTAACCAGTAGTTATAGCGCTATGCCCAGTATTCTATATATTTAGTATTTAATGCCTAGCAATATATACTCTTCTATACGTTTAGTGTTTTGAATGCCCTGCTATATATACACTTAAGATACAATAAATACTCAGTATACTCTAATATTCCTTAAAGTAATTTATATATATATATATTCTGGCAGACCTTATTCCCCAGATATGCAGACACTCTCCAGTCTGTGTCCATCCAGTACAGCCTGGATCTCTATATCTATACTCACATATGTACCCTTAACACTTTAAGTACTACTGCGGCCCCCTTAGCAATATAATAGCACTTTAATACTTTTAAATACTAACAGTTTAATATACAATGCTAACAGTTCAGTATATTCAATGTATATAATCCCCCCTCCCTTTTTTTTTTAATTACTACTTTCTCTCCCCCTATGTACCACCTCTCACCCTCCTCCTATACACTTTTACCCCTCTACAGCAGTACAAATCTTAAGGAACACCCTACAGCCCCCTCTCCCCAATCTCTTTCATACGACCTGCTCCTGATTCCAGTAATGTCTCAGTCTTGTCCACACGAACATTCCTTCAGTCACAGCCTCCGTCCACTCTTCTCTTGCTCCTCGAACACTCATCCGTCACTGCCTCCGAATAATTCTGTATTGATTAGAAGTGATATATGCCCCAAAAGGTGACATATTTCGGATAGGCAAGCTTAATTCTTGAATCAATGGAGTTTGTACTGACCCACAACTATTTGTCATTGTCATTTATGGATGTTTTTTTTCTGCAGGAGAGGGGGAGAGCTATTGGGGCCAGGTTCCCTGAGCTATGCCAACCTATTTATGGGTTTGTGGGAATCCAGTTTCATCTGGGTCAACAACCAATTCGGGGCAAGCCCGGCCCTCTATGCTGGATACATAGATGATGTGACAGTCATATGGGATGAAGATAGAGAGCGCTTAGGCAGATTTGTGCAATACTGCAACCGAAACCCATTTTCCATACAATCCACACATGTCATAGATCCCAAGACACTAAGTCCAGCCATGGAAGATGGATTGATGTTTGCCTAATAATGGTTATTGGTCAACTTCCAATGCAGCAAAAAGAAGTTCAGAAACAATATAACTGAGTCTTTTTATTTCTATTGAATGGAGGATAAGCCTATACCAGGGGAGCAATTTTGACTCATCAGTCCATGTGCTGCTATTTTTCTGCAGCATTGTGGCCAAAAAGCCATACCTCTGATGTGGAAACAAGGCTAAGTGATTCAACTATGCAGGTGCTCTGGACTGCTAAGTCACAATTTGAAATATTTGACTGTAACAGGAGGCGGTTTGTTTGTGAAGGGCTGGAAAGCGGTACACTAATGAGTGTCTGAAGGCAACAGTGAAGCATGGTGGAAGTTCATTGCAAAGCTGGGGCTGCATTTCTGCCAATGGAGTTGGAGATTTGGCCAGGATCAATGGTGACCTCAATGCTGACAAATACAAGCAGCTATTTATCCATCATGCCATACCATTGGGGAGGCGTGTGATTGGCCCCAGATTTATTCTGCAGCAGGACAATGACCCCAAACATACTGGGGAAGTGATGGTTTTTCACCCCTTGAGAGCCCTGATCTCAACATCAAGTATGTCTGGGATTACATAAAGACACAGGAGGATTTGAGGCAGCCTACATCCACAGAAGATCTTTGGTTAGTTCTCCAAGATGTTTGGAACAATCTACCTGCTGAGTTCCTTCAAACACTATATGAAGGTGTACATAGAAGAATTGATGCTGTTTTGAAGGCAAAGGGTGGTCACAACAAATATTGATTTGATTTCTCTTCATTTACTTTCTATTTTGTTAATTGATAAAAGTAAACTATTAAACACTTTTACTTATGAAAGCCTTCTTACTTTACAGCATTTTTTCATACCTGCCTATAACTTTTGCACAGTAATATATATATATATATATACAGTTGTGTGAAAAAGTGTTGGCCCTCTTCCTGATTTTTCATTGTTTTGCATGTTTGTCACACTTTAATGTTTCAGATCAAACAAATTTAAATATTGGTCAAAGATAACACAACATGCAGTTTTTAAAAAGGAAAGTTTTTATTATTAAGGGAAAACAAAATCCAAACCCACATGGCCCTGTGTGAAAAAGTGTTTGCCCCCTAAACCTAATAACTGGTTGGCCCACCCTTAGCAGCATGAACTGCAATCAAGCGTTTGCGATAACTTGCAATTAGTCTGTTACAGCGCTGTGCAGGAATTCTGCTAGAACAGTACAGACAGTGTAAATTTTGGTAAAAATGATCTCCCCTCCCAGCTCAAGTCCCCTCAATAATATTACAGACCATGGAAAAACTTTAGCTTTGGAATTTTCAGAGTAGGTTCAAGTAATAACTTTTAACCCTTTCGCTGCCATGTATGTCATACATCGGCAGCAGCCATAAACAGACTATAGCCGGGAATATTTATCTGTGCAAAGCCGGCTTTGCACTGGAAGTAATTCTGGTTGCTCTACAGCTGCTTGATCACTTCCAGGGACCAGCAGACGAGCTCCTCCCCTGCCCAAACCTCCCACCTTGCTTCCCGGGCTCTGCTGCCCCTCCTAGCAGCCCAGGACCAGCATCGTGGGCGTAAGCAGGTAGTGGGGAGAAGAACAGTGAACATCAATTTGTTAATACGCTTCCCACTGAATGAAACAGGAAGTGACAAGGATTTTTTCACTTCTGGTTTCTGAGCTGTCATTCCCTGGCTAGAGAAACTGGGGAAGAAGCTGATCAAGCATGAGCTGTGCTTTGGAGGTGTAATCCCCCTTAATGTCACATTAAAGAGAACCTGTGGCTACTAAAGTGCTATCATATAAAGGGGATGTGAGTCCCCCTATGTGATGAAAATGTTGACAATGATGACATAAAAAATAAAGTTAAATAACATAAACTTAACAACATCCCTAAAACTTTTTAAAGTCCCCCGTCCTTGTGTACATACACATACTAATGCAAAAATTAGACGGGTACACCTTCGTATGAAAACGAAGATTGTGCCACACTTTAGGTATCACCAATGTGCCAGAGTGAGAGCAATAATTATAGGGCCAATATTCATGGTTATCACTAAACTAATGACCTTTACAGGTTTATGAAGCATCACTTTTGGGGTACCGTCGTTTTTCACCATGTCATGTTGGGTATCTATTTACTTGGCACACCCTCTTTTAAATTTTACAACAAATGGACTTGTGCACTAATAACATAAGTGTATTTTTTACTGAGTTTTTGGGTTTGATGAATAGTTGTGCTAATATCATGCAACATAAAAGTTTGCAACTGTCAACATTTTATTCTACAAGGTCTCTGCTTTCAGGAAATATATAATTCTGGAGGGTTTTAAGTAATTCTCAGGCCTGAATTTTAACTTGTGTAAAAAATATGCAAACATCTCTAGCAGTGAAAGGGTTATCTATTGTTTTTAACGTTTGCTATGTGAATTGGAACATGTAACAATTATAAAATAGGTGCTATGCCAATCTGGCTGCAAAAGTGGAAATACACTTTAAACCCCTACCATATTTATCCAACAACAACAAAACGTTTGGCCACACAAATTTTGGCTACTCAATTTGAACTACTTTATTTTTTAATGCTCAACTGAAAGAATTTTGCTCACTGTTCCATAAGTTTATTTTTGTATTTCATATCTAGAAACAGAGATTCTTCTCCAATCTTAATAGCTGTCTTTATATTACCAATGTAATGGTAGCATGGCTTAATCTTAAAGTGTTAAACAAAAATCCAATCATAATGCCGCACCAATAAGAGAAAGTAGTCTTCATAGGTAAACATAAAACATGGCTGTCCATGTAGATACTGTACTATGAAACAAGAATTTGAAAACATTGACACAGCACTTTAGATACTGCGCATTCTCATCAGTCCCTGACCTCGAGGAGCTTACAATCTAAAGTCCCTAACTCACATGGACACAGAGCCGATTTAGATGGGAGCCAACTAACCTGTCTGGAGTATGGGAGGAAACTGGAGTACACAGGAAACCCATGCAAGCACAGGGAGGTCATACAAACTTATTGCAGAAGTGTCCTAACTAGGATTTGAACCAGGGGCTGCAAGACAGAAGTGCTAACCACTAAGCCACTGTACTGCACTTATTTCTTTCTCCTTCAAACTACATATTATTGGGTCCAATACTGTAGTTACTGTAATGTACACTGAGTGGCCAGTTTATTATGACCACCTGGCGTTTGTACGCAAATTAGCCATAATTTCACGCGGAAGTTGCTAGAGGGCCAGACCATTATAAATAGGGAAGCAGGTTGTTTTTCCACAACAGTAGAAGTTATTTTTTCTGAAGATATGGATAAACAACGCGATTTAACAGCCTTTGAACGTGGGATGATTGTTGGCATGAGCCATGGAGCGAGTATTAGCAAAACAGCAGAATTCGTTAAATGTTCAAGAGGGGCTCATTGTTAAAGTGTTTAAAGACTGGACTGTCAGCCAAAAATCTGGGTCTGAACATGCGAATGGTGGCCGTCAGCCACTAGTCAATGTTAGGGCAGAGTGGCAAGACTGGTACAAGACAACAGAAGGGCAACAGTGCAGTGTCAGATTCCTCGCATCACCTTTCAACATCTCGTGGAGTCACGAGGCGGCCCAACAAAGTCATATCGTGGAGTTATCTCGTGGCCCAACATAGTACTGATGAGGTAGTCATAATAATCTGGCCACTCAGTGTATATCATTGACATAATCTTTTTCCAAGAAGTTGCATTTTCTTTTGAAGACACAACATACACAGTAATCAAAGTAAAGCAAAATTATTTCTAAGTGAGAGCTACATTTGGAAAATAATTTCTGACAGCCAGTAGAAGATATAATTTTCATCATAGTAATAATTAGGCACATATAAGTTCCAACAATGTATATGAATGGAAAGAGAGTCACAGATTAAGCTAAAACAAAAGGTTTCTAGATTAACAACATAAATATCAGAACAAAAGATATTCACGATGGGATCATAGTCATAAAAAATGGTAAATCACACATGGTCCACAGAAATGTAGCTGGAAAACTAGAATCAGGGTTGTAAAGCAGAATCCACCATCCCAACACCAGAAAACCCACTCACAGTACATTTTTAAGTCCATGAGAGAATTGTAATGCCGTGGACTAGAGTTTTCTAGGTAGCAATCATTAGACATGTGAGACACTATGAGATGGAAGCATTCTGTAATTCCTGTAGACCCACATAAATAAAACTATTAAAGTAACCAATTACTGAAATTCTGTCTTCCCCTGACCACAAAACCTGTAGGAATGTAGACACTACATTTGTAGTGAAGAGAATATTAGAGTAAGAGAAAATATTCTGCAACCATGAAGGCTATGAAGTCCAATTATCCAAATATTAGTTAGTAAAGATCCATTAGAATTTACCATTGCCTGTGGATATAGTAAAATTATATGATTTGAGCTACATTTAGTGGATTGAGTTTAATATTAACTCAAAAGGCTAATTCATACTTCAGCGATCCATTGTGGTGAGTTAATGCATGCTCAATGTGCATTATGGATTTGCTGTCGATTTACCAAAATGGATTTTAAAAAATATGACTTTTTTTGGCAACATAGCACACTAGAATGCACTTCCTTCATCCCTCTTTGGCCATTTGTCTGCTACAGTTGATGTAATGCAATAGGCGCAATTGTCGTTTTCACATGTAGGTGCATCCGACGCATGTTTGCGTGTGTATGTGGGGGCGGGAAACTTTTTTAAATAAATGGTGGGTATTTTCAATTTTTTTATTCTTTTTTTTTCACTTAGCTTTATTGATATCACATGGGGGGGGCTAAAAAAAACCCTATGTGATAGCCAATTTACATGACAGGTCCTCTTTAAGGAGACATTAGGGGTCTCCAAGACCCCTAATGTCACCTAGGGACCCCCAGAGAAGCTGATGAGGCTTCTCCCCAGCTTCTGGAGCTGGAGAGTGACAGCAGAATGCGGAAGTGATGTAATATAAATCACTTCCTGCATTCGGGGACTGGAGAGAAGATCAAAGGGAGATCGTGTACCAATCTCATTTTAATCTCCTGTCACAGAGCAGCTGTGCCAGTCCCAGCCGCGCCGGGCACAGTAGGTCTCGGTACCGGAATCGGCAGTGACAGCAGCTGCTAATACAAGCGACCGGGCGTCTCCAGAGACACCAGATCGCTTCAATGTAAAGCGGGTGCAATTGCTCCCTGGGGTGAGCAATCTTGCAAGGTAGGCAAACAGAAAATAAAGGCTTTTACAGTACCTGTAAACCGTCAATAAGAATTTCAGTGTGGTGGTTGAAATTATGCTTGAGGTGAAACTATCTGCTTACCTGCTGTGCCATAGTGCCATATGATGTGCTGGCTGAAATCATGCATTGGAGTGAAGTTGTTTACCTGCTGTGCCATATGATAAGGAGGATGGGGAGATATACCTAGGTGAGTTTCTCTGAGGAAAGGAGCTTTGGGTGGCCTTCACTGCTGAGATGATATTCACTAGTACACCTAGCACATAGTCAACAGAACTAAACTATCTAGCACTGTAATTCGCTCATACTAAGCAGCCATGCAGCAAAGGGGTGAATTGGCAAATTAATAAGTGTTACTTTACTATTTTTTGGCAGGTGAATCAATTTCCATATACAGTATATGTGTCTTTTACAGTAAATATGAAGCTGTTTTACTGGGATGTCCTTTCATTATTCACCTGAAGAAATTGCAAACAAAGTGTATTACATCACCATTATATAGCATTTTGTGAAATAGTTTTTGCAGTTTCAGTTTGTTTGTTTTTTTTCTCCCACAAGACACTAAGGAGAATCTGAATCAACATTTGATACTAAATTATTGTTCTATCAGTATAAATAGGCTAAGATATTCCTTTAGGGACAAACTACATGAACGATTTGCAGTCTTGGAAGCCAAGGAACCAAAAATCTTCTGAGATTAATTATTGATCCTTACAAACACTGACTTCTCCAGTGATTTAGCCGTTTACATACAACTATCTCTATATGGATTGCAAACACTCCGCTGTGCAGTTTTTCCTAAGAGAATTATGTTAGTTAGCTTTAACAACATTAGCATTTTTTCATATAGATACTGTAGGTGGTTAACAATAGTTTAAAAGACACAGAGAGTTCTCTTTTATTTTGTTTAAATTCATTATGAAATGATGATATTTTATATCTCTCCTTTAGGTGGCATTAGATGGTGGGTGGTTGGGCAAGCAGACACAATCTGATCAGGGGAACACTTTTTGGAAATAGTAGTAATTAAACAAATGTATACAGATTTGTAACTGTGTTTGTTATCGCCATTTGCTACCATTTCCTGTATATATATACCATTCACTTTCAAGCAGAAAAATGTCCCTGCCGTATATACACTATATTGCCAAAAGTATTGGGACACCTGCCTTTAGACGCACATGAACTTTAATGGCATCCCAGTCTTAGTCCGTAGTGTTCAATATTGAGTTGGCCCACGCTTTGCAGCGATAACAGGTTCAACTCTTCTGGGAAGGCTGTCCACACGGTTTATAAGTGTGTCTATGGGAATGTTTGACCATTCTTCCAGAAGCGCATTTGTGAGGTCAGGTACTGATGTTGGAAAGAGAAGGCCTGGCTTGCAGTCTCCGCTCTAATTCATCCCAAAGGTCCTCTATTGGGTTGAGGTCATGACTCTATGCAGGCCTGTCAAGTTCCTCCACCACAAACTCATTCATGTCTTTATGGACCTTGCTTTGTGCACTGGTGCGCAGTCATGTTGGAACAGGAAGGGGCCATCGCCAAACTGTTCCCCACAAAGTTGGGAGCATGAAATGGTCCAAAATGTCTTGGTATGCTGATGCCCTAAGAGTTCCCTTCCCTGGAACTAAGGGGCCAAGCACCAACCCCTGAAAAACAACACCACACCATAATCCTCCCTCCACCAAACTTTACACTTGGCACAATGCAGTCAGGCAAGTACTGTCCTCCTGGAAACCGCCAAACCCGGTCACGTCCATCGGATTGCCAGACAGAGAAGTGTGATTCGTTACTCCAGAGAACACATCTCCACTTCTCTAGAGTCCAGTGGCGGCGTGCTTTACATCACTGCATCCAACGCTTTGCATTGCACTTGGTGATGTAAGGCTTGGATGTAGCTGCTCGCCCATGGAAATTCATTCCATGAAGCTCTCTTCACACTGTTGTTGTGCCAATCTGAAGGCCACACGAAGTTTGGAGGTCTGTAGCTATTGACTCTGCAGACAGTTGGCGACTTCTGCGCACTGTGCGCTTCAGCAAGTTGTTTTTTGTTGCCTCAGACTCAACATGTTTCTTATGTTTTTTTTTGAGCATGTAATTTTTATTGAATTTTTAAATAATACATAACAATAAAGTATGAGGGTACCCTATCATAATAATGAATGTACATACACATCAAAGAGTAAACAGTCAGGTTTGTAAGCAGATGCAGAACAATTGTTAAAGCATGAGTCGGTATGATCAAAGTATTGTACATCCCTATGGCGCATATGCAATGACAATACTAAGCATAGGATTCAAGGCCACCTCTCAAAACAGGATAATACATAACATAGGAAAACAACGGGAAAGTAAATTAAGAACACTACCTGCAGTATTAAAGGAAAAAAAAAAAAAACATGAGCAACAATATTGCCAGTACTTATTTCAGCAGATTTTCCATTTAAATCGGAGTACACCAATTTCAGTTTCTTGTGGGACTAATTGAACGTCAAGGGGTGACATGCAGTCTTGTATGGGTAGAAATTCGAAAATCAGATAAGTGGTTGGAAGGGCACCAAGGGTAGTTATCACTCGAACGGGGAGTTTCTCATGTTACAGTAGAAATGTAATCAGCTTATTTTTACTTGTATGCATCACAATGTAAAGAGAAAAGAGGTTCTACTGTAAATTTCTAAAAAGGCCCCCTAAAATAAAAAGTGAACTTTAATTTTGATCTTAACCATTCTGCTGTGGTACATACAAATTGCATTATATGCAGTATCATTTATGCCAGAAGGCTTTGTCAAATGAAGTTTAGGGTAATTAAAGTCACATTTAGGTTCCTGAAGAATATTAGAATGGTACACATATTATGTTTAGAATAGATTAACCCCTTCGTGACTGACGACGTAGAATAGATTAACCCCTTCACCAGCATCGGGGCTGTTTAAACAGACTCCCGGCGACTTTTGCCGCCGGGAGTCTGTTTAAACTTGTAGAGCCGACTGTCGGCTTTACAACAGAAGCGATCCTGGCGACTTACCTGTCGCCAGATCGCTTCTGCGTCCCGAAGAAGGGGCCGCCCCCCCCCGCCGGACACCCCCGCCGTGCTTCCCGGGCTCCGTTGCCCCTCCTACGGGCCCGGGACCGGCGATCTTTGTGTCCGCGGGGAGCTGGGGAGGAGGTCGACGAACTTCCGTTCATCGATCCCCTCCCCGTTCTATGGGACCGGGAGCGATGCAGATTGCATCACTTCCGGTCCCTGGGCTGTCAGTTCTGGGCTCCTGCAGCCCAGCTATAAGCTATTGAAGTGCGATCTGCACTTCAATAGCTTATTTCCAGTGTAAAGGTGACACTGAGGGTCTTTTGGACCCCCAGCATCACCTTAAAGAGGACCTGTCACCACCATCTGCTATTACATGGGGGGGCTTGCAAGCCCCCCCATGTGATAGCAGTCAAAGTAAAGTAAAAAAAAAAAAAAAAAAAGTTTTTAAAATTAAAATGAAATAAAATAAATCTAATAATAATAAAAAAAAATGTTAAAAGTACCCCGCCCCCGCGAGCACGCGCGTCGCCACGTAAACACGCGTCGGGTGCGCCTACGCATGAAAACGACGAACGCGCTACACATGTTGGGTATCGCCGCGCACGCCGGAGTGAGAGCAATAATTCTAGGGCCAGTATTTTGGGGTATCTCTAAATTGATGACCTGTGGGGGCTTTTAAAGTGTCTTTTATTGACTTTTTGGGGTACTGCAGTTTTTCGCCGTTTCACGGTCGCACGCAATCTGTAAACTGGGCATGTTGGGTATCGTTTTACTCGTTGTAACCTCATCTTTTATATTTCATTTAAAAAATGGGTAATTTGTTGTGTTTTGGGGCATTTAATTAAATTTGTCACTAAATTTTGGGGTTTAATAAGGAGTTGCGCTAATATTGCGCAACATAAAAAATTTCAACTACCACCATTTTATTCTATAGGGTCTTGGCATTCAGAAAATATATAATGTTGGGGGGTTTTACGTCATTTTCAGGCCTAAAATGTGGAATATAACATGGGTGCAAAAAATGAAAAAAGGGCCTCAGTCATGAAGGGGTTAAAGATTTTTTTTTGTATAGCCAGGTGAACACATTCCCTATGCAACCTGTTGATTAATGTTCCTGAAGAAGGAGCCTCCAAGACAACTTTAATCTTGTTCTATTATAGAAATAAATGGGTGCATTAGAGACCACGATATCACTGACAGTGCAGGTCTTATTCTAGACATCTGCGATTCGTTTTCGGAAAAACTTTTTTTTTCGGATGAATTTTCGAATAACAGAAATAATGAATGAAAACGAATCCGAATTTCCGAAAACGAAATTGTGAACAAAAATCGTTAGCGATAATCTGTACGACTTTTCGTTTGTGGGCAAATTTTCGTTGCAGCAAAGTAACATTAAAAAAATTAAAAAATGTAATGTCACTTTGCTGCAATAAAACAACAATGAAATGGAAATGGAAATTCGTACAGACTACCGCTAACAAACTTCATCTGAATCCGAATCCCGAAATGAATCGACTATCGGACCCGAATCCCGAAAAATTAAATAACGCAAAATCCGAATCAAAACCAAACGAAACAAAACAAATTTTTTTGCCGGTGCACATTTCTATTTTAATGATCCCAAATTATGCTAATTTATCATATGATCACCATGGCAGTCAATCATAGAAATCATACAGTATGGATTTGTTTACAAACAAGATCGTTCTCCCCGCAAATGACAACATTTGGCTCCACCAAGTTGTTGTCATGCAATGGCAGCTCAGCATCCTCAAGGACACTGGGCTGTCGCTAAATGACAACATCTGGGTGGAGCCAACTGTGATGTCAGTTGTTGTCCTTCAATGACAGACCAGCGTCGTCAGATTATTTGAGGACACTGGGCTGTCATTAAATGTTATATATATATATTTTGTTTATATATTTTTATTCTGCTCGCTACCTCGGAGGTAGCGAGTAGAATAGCCGGGCCGAATTCCGCTTGGCATTCGGCTATTTACTCACTTCTGTTCGGCCCCTATAAAAATAGGGGTGAAGGGCAGCGAGTGAACTGCCGGAGCTTTGGCTCAGCTACCGAAGGGAGTCAATGTATGGCTGATTTTAGCCGATGTACGACTGAAATCAGCTGTACAGAGCCAAAGTGAATAGCCGAATGCCGTTCGGCTCAGTTCACTTCGGCTCAGTTATTCACTTGACTGCTTTCGGCAGCTTTGTGAACAGCCCTCTTAGTGTTTCCAGGATTTAGCCAGAAGA